TTTTCTCAGGACAATGGAAAGGGAGCACAATGATTCTAAAGAAGACATTTTAGAACAACTGGAATCCCACAGACCAAAATCTAGTTATTCTATAGGGAAAAACATAAGTTCACAGGACTCCAGAACAATGGGAACTCTAGCATCATCAGCAACAAGTCTTTCATTATTTATCAATTCACCAAATCACTGTGATTCCAGGGTAGCTATTAGAATCAGAGACTATTCAGATATACAAGGCTAGTCATGTTTTTTTAAGGAGGTAGACATCAAACCTGATAGAGTTATTATGTCATGCTCAGTGTTCCTCAACGTTCCTAATGCTGTGACAGTTTTTCACGTTGTGGTTACTCCGAACCACAAAATTACTCAGTTGCAATTTTGTGAATATAATTTTTCTTTTGTTATGAATTGTAATGTCAATATCTGATGTGAGACATCCAAACGGGCCACAGCCCACAGGTTGAGAACTGTTGTATACTTCTAGATAGAACCTGCTGTGTGGCAGTTTGGATAGGTTTCAGAGAGGATGCAGGAATGCTTGAAATAGGATCTTTAAAAACATATGTATTTTAACAGAAGTATAAAAGGGAGAGGTTATCAAAGAGCCAGCCACTGAGTTCATGTCAGAGACAGTCCCTGTTCCCCTTACTAGGGAACCCACTTGGATTCTGAGCTGCCTTGGGCTACATCTGTTCAGGGGTTCTAGGTTATCCCAGTCCTTGGTTGGAGTATCAGTCTCAGAAAAGATGCCTGGGCCAAGCTATTATGGTTCTGTTGCTTTTGATCAAGATTACAGTAGTAGGCATGAAGTTCTGCCCTGTGTAACAGGTCTCAAGTCTAATAAAGAAGGAATTGGTTTCCCTTTAGCAGTCGTGCAAGTATTGCTTGCATATTTTGCCTTGTAGGTCAGTATTGCAGCATACTGGGTCCAGTGCTATGTACGATCATTGGTGTCTTTTCTTCCTTAGCACCCCAAATGACAACCCCATGGTATTGTGAAAGGCTAATTAATCATCAGAGAGGACATTTTTGGTCAGTTTGAGATTGGTTCCTCTATCCTGTAGCCTTGTTGATTCTATTCCCTAGATATTGAAGAGACTAAATGAACATTGATATGAAGTGTCTTTGTAGTAGGGTATAAAGTCCATTGGGTATAGGTTTAGGGGTAATACACCTACATCATAAGGCAGTACACTTTATTATTATTAAACTTTTTAGAGTTACTCCTTTTCTTTTCTATTGAATTTTTATTTTTATATTAATTGCAGTTTATTCATTGTGTATCCCAGATGTAGCCCCCTCCCTCATCTCCTCCCATTCCCCTCTCTAAGTCCACTGATAGGGGAGGTCCTCTTCCCCTTCCATCTGACCCTAGTCTTTCAGGTCTCATCAGGACTGGCTACTCTGTGATCTGGTAAGGCTGCTCCTCCCTCATGGAATGGTGATCAAAGAGCCAGCCACTGAGTTCATGGCAGAGACAGTCCCTGTTCCCATTACTAGGGACCCACTTAAATACTGAGCTGCCATGGGCTACATCTGAGCAGGGGTTTTAGATCCAGTTACTCGTTTTCTTATATGTTCTTGGGTGTCATGTGTATATGTATCTGTGTACCAAAAGCATGTCTTGTTCCTACAGAGGTCAGAATAGGACATCTGATCCCCTGAAAACAGAGTTGCAGATGGCTGTGAGTCTCCAAGTGGGTGCTGAGAACTTAACTTTGGTTCTCTGCAAGAGCCTCAAGTGCCAGGCTGTTTCTCCATCCCCTTACATAATAGTGTTTTCTAAAGAAACATCTTGACTAATTTCCAAAGTGGCTGTACTAGTTCACACACCCACCAACAGCATATTGGCATTCTTCTTTGTGGGGCTAGAAAGATGTATTGAGGACATTTGTCATTCTTGTGGAGGGCCCAGTTTGATAACTAGAACCCACATGGTGTCTTACAGCTGTCCGTAACTTCTGTTCCAGGGGATACTCTCTAGGCATACAGGCAACAGGCATGCACATGGTGTAGCACACAATAAATAAATCATTATAAGAGAAAAGAATTCCCATTTTGCTGTATCCATACCAGAATTGTTGCCATTGGTGTTACTGATGTTGGTCGTTCAGCATAGGGTGAGATAGAGTCTTAAAGTAGTTTTATTTTTCATTTCACTGATGTTCAAGGATGCTGAACACGATTTAAATTGTTACCTAGCTATTTACATTCTTCTTTTAGGAATGTTCTGTTCCATTCCGTTGCCTATATTTTAGAGCTATTTATGTTCTTATTTTTTAGGTCGAATTTTTTATTTATTTGTAAAATCCTGACACTTATCCTCTGTCAGATGAATAGCTGGCAAAAAGTTTTCTCACATTCTGTGAACTTTCTATTAATTCATTTCTCAGTTTCCTTTGCTGTACAGCTTTTTAGTTAAATGAGATGCCACTGTTGATTTGTGGTCCTATTTATGTAGCTACCAGAACTTACCTAGGCCTAGTTCAAGTTTGGTAAATAAATAAAAATGCCTGAAAAAAAGGCAAAAGTGTCTTTACTCATACTCAGGACAGTACTTTAAATCTTAGCTAGGGCCTTAAGACAAGAGAAGAAATTAAAACAATATAAAGGAAAAAAAGAAATCAAGGCATCTCTATTTGCAGATTATATAAGTCTTAATATAAAAGACACCACTTTAAAAAAATCTTCTTTGGAGATGATAAATAATTCCAACAAGTGGCAGAATATAAAATTAACACACAGCAGTTAGCAACCTTCCTATAAACCTATGACAAATAGACTCTAAATTAAGCAGGGAAATAATCATTCATAGTAACCACAAAAGGTAAATTACCTGGAACTAATGAATGTTTGATTGCATCTCATATCATTTATTTTGACAAGCACAACCATTGCACCCGATTGTTCCATCACCGTTATGGGTTTCTAGCAAACTCATGAGAGCAACATTTAAGAGATGGGTGTCTTCCGTTTCTCCTGACCCTCTACTCTCTGTTGAGAGCCCTACCCCTCATCCGTTCAGTAGATAGTTGGAGGGGTTAGTGTCATGAGTGGTACGTCTTTGTAGTAACAGCTACATTTCTGTACATTTCTAACTGACCTGTGGGACAGGAAGTGGAGGACCCACACATGTGATGTGAGGAACTGTGCAGACCCTGTTCTCTTGAGCCTCACTCCTTTATAGCTGCAATCTGTAGCCAACGAGTAGGCTTCTGAATTCTTATAAGAAGTGGACTGAGCTTTAACAAAGAAGATTCACTTCATCCTCTATTGCAAAGGTATTGAACTAAGCAGTACTATCCTTTGAGGCTCAAACACCTAGATACTCATATACCTCATTGTGCTTATACGGACATAGGCCAAAGACACACACAGTATTAGATATTGCTTGAGGGCAGAACATTTCCTCTTGACAAATCTTTGTGCTCTATTATATTACACAAAGCCAAACAGGATTCATTTTTTTCAAGTTCTGAAAACTGATATATTAAAAAAGAAGATATATTACATTATTGTATTCCAAAATTTCATTAAAGTTTATATCAATTCCCAGTAATATTGGTACAGAACTTTTTTTACACAAAGCATTTTTGATAAATTACTGTGCATATATAGTCACAGACTAAGGTACAGTAGTATAGCAGCATTCATCTAAACGGACTGCATTCATTGCTCAACAGACTACCTAGTTACATATACTTCAAGGCCCCAGTCCTTCCAGAAAGCTACAGAGGGATAGTATTTGGCCAGTCCAGCAGACTTCCATTGTTTTGCCTTTCTCAGCATATCTGAACATTTTATTTTTAGAACTAGGAAAAAAATGAACAACAACAAAAACACATTCTACTTCATTTAAATATAATTGTCGAGGTATTTTAGTTCAGAATGTAGCTGCTCTGGCAAGAGATCACATCCAAAGACCCCCCTCCCCAGGTCTGTGTGATCTGGCTGGACTACAAACACACCTCTAATACAGGAGACAAAAGCAAGCAGATCTGAGTTCAAGTTCAAGGCCAAACCAATATAGAGCAAGTTACAGGTAAAGATAGGCTTAGGTCCATGCATAGTGGTACACTCCTTTAATCCCAAACAATGAAGGTAAAGTTAGCTTGTAGAAGGAAGCACTTAAGTTGAAAATGTTGTCTAAATGAGTGGCAGAAAATGTGAAGAATCTGAGAAAGATTTGACACCTAACTCACATGGGAAGAGAGAGAAAAGGGAAGCTACTTTAGGGGCAATACAGAGGGCGAAGACAGAGGATGCAGTTTTACTGGGACACTAATAGAGAGATGGCTTGCAGAGAGAGAAATCAGGTGAAGACTGAATGAGACAGAGAATGAGAAGGAGCCAAAAGACTAGAGCAGATGAAATAAGTCAACAGGGAGAGGAGTTTGAGCCAGAACTGCAGAATTGGACCAGTCATCCTAAATCTCAGAAAGAAAGGGTGATCTTATTAAGCCATAAGTCTCAAAGGTTAGATTGTATGGAGGCTAGAGGCTTCCAGGACTAGGCCTAGTTTAGCAGACAAAGGAAATACTTCTCCTAGACAACAATTCAACTGGTGAATAAAAGTTCTTTTTACATGTAATCCTCAGAGAAAATATAGCAAAGTCCTACATGGTATATAAATGATATATGAAATGGAGGAGATATTTAGACAACAATTCTACATTTAAAACTGGTGCTTAATATACAAACACAAATTTGGGCTCAATTGTAGCTGAATTCTATACATTTCAAGCTGTTCTGCAAAAGTTCTAGAACTGTAAGAATTGCATTTATTCATAGGATGTTTAAGGAAAATCATGCAGAAATGCTTTCATCTAATATGGTAAAATCTGAGTAATGGAGACCACAACTGTCCATGTGAGCTTCCTTCCTGGAGGGACAAGTCCCTGTAATATAGGAAATGATTTGTCCTATTTTTCTGTGTTGCTCATTCCACGTCCCAGGAAACAGGAATTAAGCTGAAGTCTCTCTCTGGTTTTCCTCTGCAGACAGCGTGGAAGATGAACTGGAGATGGCCACGGTCAGGCATCGGCCTGAAGCCCTGGAGCTGCTGGAAGCCCAGAGCAAATTCACCAAGAAAGAGCTTCAGATTCTTTACAGAGGATTTAAGAATGTAAGGACTTTCCTTTTGATCTCACCTTTAGCCAGTTCTCAGAGGAGCATCAAAAGATGAGTGCAGATGGGGGCAGGGCACACTGTTCTCTAAGCACCCAAAGCCTGTGTATCTTTTATTCTCATCTCTCCTGGATTTGAATACAGTCAATACCCACTGGGTCTTTGATTGACTTTTTCAATCAAATGCCAGTAGAATTTAATTGACTGTAAGACAAGGATGGGTATTGAAAAGGTTTTTTTTTTTTTTTTTAATTAAATTCTTTTGTTGAGATTTGTTTTCTTCTTCAGGTGTAATGGGACAATAGTTTGTTTTTTAACTATAAAGTATATATGTTTATAAAATGTAATTTGGGGCCACAGACAGACTTCAAAATACAAGGAAGATACATGTAAGTAGCAGCATCAGAATTCAGCAACAGGCTCTCTAGTTTCAGAGTCCATGCGAAAAGAGGCTAGAGAAGAAAGCACAAAGAGACGCTTGCCATCCAAATACGGTCCTGGACCTTTCTTTGGTCAAAAGAAACATCAGTGAAAGAATAACAGGAAGGACAAGAATGAAGTTGGAGGGATACAATGTGAAAAAGAATCTTGTTTTTTTTTGTTATGTCACGTCTTTCCTTATTCCCCACACCCTTCTCGTGTGTATTTGTGTGTGTGTGTGCTTTTGTGTGCATGTGTGTGCACGTGAGCGTGTGTGTACATTTGTGCATCTGTGTGCATGCATGGGCACGAGAGCTAAGGCTTGTATTTCTTTTCTGAGCTGCCTCCCACCTTGTTTCTTGAGACATGGTCTAACTTGGTCTAAAGCTTACCAAGTAGGCTAGACTCCTGGTCAGCGAGTTCAGATGTCCTCCTGCGGTCACTCTCTCCAGTGTTGGGATTACAGACATGCTTCAACACATCTAACATTTTCCACATGGATTCTGGAGATCAAACCCAGGTCCCCAAGGTTTTAAGACAGGCAATTTACTGACTCAACTGTCTTCCCAGCCCATCAAACCACAAACCTCTCTCTCTCTCTCTCTCTCTCTCTCTCTCTCTGTGTGTGTGTGTGTGTGTGTGTGTAAAATGGTGAGTGTGTGTGTAAAATGGTGAGTGTGTGTGTAAAATGAGACTATGGTCCACTCTTTCACTAAAGCATTTCTACTATATACTGGTCCTTTGGGGGAAAAAAGATATGGGATTGTGGGTGGATTTGATAAACAATGGTAAATAAACTTAATGAATAAACCAGTATCTGCTATTTATGATTCCCTTTTGGGGCAGCCTAAATATATATCTTCGGACAAAGACTAGTAGGTTGGAGGATTAGAACTCCTCACTCTTCTCCAGTGTGTGGAATCTAAATTTGGATTCATCTAATAACTAGCTTACCAATTTTTCTTAGATTACTTCTTTGTGCTCATTTCCTGTACTCATGTTGACAAATAATGCTCTCAATGCTAAGGGGGGAAATATTTAGTGCTTGACTTACAGTTTGGAGCCTGTTAATTGACTCCATATCTGGTACTGGGAAAATCACTGTTTTATTATTTGTAGAAGACAAGACTGTATTCTGTCAAGTCAAACCTCAGGGACCCATGGGTTATCACAGAGCCTGGTTATCTGTGACCCTGATGTGCATGCGACCTCCTCTGCAGATGTCACCATCAAGAGAGGTGATAGCATGATCAAGCTAAAGATCAATGTTACAGATCCTTCAAAAGGCGGAGAAAGCATGCTCTGTCTTTAAAGAGCAGTGTGAGAAAGCTTACTGTCATAAGTCCATTTGAAAATAGCTTCCTTTAAGTTATTGAGGGTTTGTATATCAAATCGCACAACAACCCAAGATATAGTGTGATCTTATATATACCTAAGCCAAAGGAAGTAGCTATACATGTCATTTTTGTTTCTTTCTGTTGTTTTGAAGTTTACACATACATTAACACTCACACATTATATGTTAAATATATATCATTTGAGATATATTAATTAATTTACTTTAATTTTAAGTAGATTAATATGTATATTAAAATCTAACATTTAGGTTCTGCATACAAGAAAAAGCAAAAGTGTCCAGGCTTGGGATACTTAAAATAATAATTTTCAATTCCAACTATTTTGCTATAAATGTTATTTCATTTTTTATGTCTGCAAAATTCTACTGTGTAGCATACATTCGCCTTCTCCATTCACCTGCTGGTGGACAGATGCTTTCATTCACTGAGTATTATGAATGGTATATCAGTAAGCATCGGTGTTCAGGTATCTCTGGGTTGACTTGGAGCCCTTTAGGTATATACCCAGGAATGGTTCTGGCTAGGCCATATGGTAAGTCTATTTTTATTTTAAGAAACCTCAATTAGTAATGATTTTAATAGTGACTGAAGAGGCTTTTATATTCGAGTTAACGATGAGAAGGGTTCTATTTCCTCACAATCTTACCTGCATTTGTCATTAATTGTTTTCTTGATGATAACCATTATGAGTGAGGCGATACAGAGTATCAAAGTTCTAATATTTACTTCACTTGTGAATAAGGATGTGAAAAACACTACATACATTTATTGTTTGTTCGTGGTTCGTCTTTGAGCTGCCTATTCAGTTCACTGAACCATTGATGGCTGAAAAGATTTTAAATATTTGTTATTGCTTTTTATAGTCTTCTATGTATTGTAGATTTCGTTCTTTTCTGAGGTATAAGTGGTACCTAGTTGTCTTATTCTGTGATTTGCCATTTTACTCTGCTTGTAGTGTCCCTTGCTGCATAAAAAACTTTTTTCTTTAACATAAGTCTATTTATCAGTTTTTTCTCTCTCATCCCTCTCCAAGTGTGTGTGTGTGTGTGTGTGTGTGTGTGTGTGGTGTCATTTTTGTGTGTGATGCATGCATGTGAGTGTATGGATACTGAGGTCCATGCATGTGCGCACAATGGTCTGGGCAGGATGTTACACGCTTTCCTCTGTCCCTGCTACATTTCTCTATTAAGACATATTCTCTTATTGAACTGAAAATTTGCCATTTTGGGCTGTTTGGCCAATAAGCTCTTGAAATCTGCCAGTCTCCCCAACATCAGAATTACAAGCACTGAGGTCATGGGTGGTTGAGATTCAAGCTTAGGTCTTTATTCTCACTGGCCCATCTCCACAGCCTTCATTTGTCAGTTCTTTAGGACTGTTTCTTTCACATTGATTCTTTTTCAGAACATTCCTGTCTATGCCTGTTCTAGTGGGACTATCAAGAAGTTTGGTCTAATTTAAATTGAATGTCTTACAGGGTGAAAGATGTCTAATTTCACACTTTGAGGTTTGGTCATTCCAGATTTGTTGCTGTTGTTATTGCTTTTAATAGCAGTTTATTAATTTTCTGAGAGTTTCCCACAATGGATTTTTATCACATCCACCCCCTCCAGTTCTACTTAGATCTACTTTTCTCTCCCTACCCATTCAACTTCAAGTCCTCTTCAAGATTTGTTTAGCCTATTGAGTCAAATTTGTGCTTGCCTAAATAGTCTTGGTGGTGAAGCCTCCCTTTGATTGAGCCAAACTTTCTAGGCATCGCATCATTAAAGCAAAATGACGCTCTTTCCCTCAGCAGCTACCAAAGAGGTCTTCAGTTAGGGGTGGAGCTTCATGTTTACTTCTGTTCTCTCTGATGGGGTTTTGCTTAACATGAGCTTTCCTAGGCCTTTATATGCTGCAAAAATCACTTTGTGTCCATATGCCCAGCTTTCCTCTTATGATTGGACAACACTGTTTTCATAGAGCCATTCACCGCTTCTGGCTCTGATGCTCTTTCCTCCCCTTTAACAAAGATCTCTGAGTCTTGGGGACAGGTGTTTGATATTGATTTCCATTCAGAGGAGCCTCTTACCCTTTTCAAGCTGTTCAATAGGGGACCTCAGATTTTCTGATAAGGTTGGGGAGAATGTACTGGTCTGTTGATAGAGCGATCAGTTATTAGGAGCTGTTTTAATGTTATGCCCATTTACCAGAATATTAGTAATTTAATATCTGTTAGGGCCTGTTACCTATTTAGGCACAGTTTTTTGGCCCTGTTGACAATGCCAGGTATGATTTCAATGTCATGGAGTATGTCTTAGATCCAACCAGGAGGTAGTCAGTTACTCCCATGACATTCAAGTAAGTACTGCACCAGTGTGCGTATATTGTCAGGGCAGTATTTGTAATTTTCAGGTTTTGCAAAGTTGGTGGGTCAATTAATATGTTTAACCTGTGATAGTATACAAAGTACCTTCCAAAACTATGAAAACTAGCCAGTAGGGATGAATCTTATGGGTGTGTATCAACTTGATTTTTCCACCTACTGTGACTCAAGTATGTGGTGTCTTTATCAATAGTGAATTAATATCAACTTCTGGAGGGTAACCAAGAGCACTGGTGATAGCTGGGCATCTATGGAAGCCTACTGTTTAATAACTCAAAACGTTCCAGTTGACCTGGTACTAGGGTTTCTACTATCCAGTTTTCTCAGGGGCAGCAGCAACAGCAGCAGCATTTTTTGAAGAAGGTTTTTTATTCAATATGTATTTTGGTAACTTTGTACACAGAATTGGTGTCTGTGGGTGTGTAGTTTGAGTTCTTGGTCTTGTATTCTATTTTGCTAATATACAAGCTATGTCTGCACTAGTAAGTACAGGCATTCTTGTAGATTCAAAGTAGGTAGCTTTAAACATTTTCCAAGCCTACCATCAACAGTTCTACAGAAGGTATTGCAAGTTCTACAGAAGGTATTGCAAGTTCTACAGAAGGTATTGCAAGTTCTACAGAAGGTATTGCAAGTTCTACAGAAGGTATTGCAAGTTCTACAGAAGGTATTGTTCGGTTGCATTTGCAGCTGTGTTTGACTTCTTATAGTCGTGTAATAGGGATGAATATTGCACACACACCACTTTGTGCCTGAATGCATTGGCCTTCTAAGTACTGCTTCAGAAAAGCTTTCCTATGTTTCACAATTTTGACCATCTATTATGACCCACGCCTCTGTGATTGGCTGGGG